TTAGAAACCATGCACCATCTGCTTTAGCCATCTGGTTTGCGGTGAATAGGGCAACAGGGGCCAAAGGTTATCTGGTAATTGAGGTGCCTGGTCGAGGTAAATGTAAGATATATGGCTACTTGTCTGCCATTTATGGATACAAGGAAATATAGCTTTTTGTCTCCCATAAAAGGGAATAGGAAATGGGTGTATCTTTTATGATTGGTTCTAGCAAACAACCAATAGGAATTTCAACCAGGATGATTGGACAGAGGCAGCCAAAGGAGGAGCAAGGGGGCTGGGCTGAGGAAATATAAGTGCTGGCCATCAGGGCTGGAGTAGGCAGAGCTTTGGTATCCATATACCACTGTGTCTCTCATTTATTTGTCTGACAAATAAATTATTATTTTAATTTCTCTATTGCTGCGTTGAATATTTCATTCCAGCTAAGCGTTAACCACAAGCAGGGTGCTACAATACCTATTAGGGACATAAATTATGGGACGTGGGTGGTGCTGTAGGTTAAACCACAGAGCCTAGGGCTTGCCAATAAGAAGGTCGGCGGTTCGAATCCCCATGATGGGGTGAGCTCCTGTTGCTCAGTCCCTGCTGCTGCCAACCTAGCAGTTTGAAAGCACGTCAAAAGTGCAAGTAGATAAATAGGTACCACTCCGGCAGGAAGGTAAACGGCGTTTCCGTGCGCTGCTCTGGTTTGCCAGAAGCGGCTTAGTCATGCTAGCCACATGACCCAGAAGCTGTACGCCGACTCCCTCGGCCAATAAAGGGAGATGAGCGCCGCAACCCCAGAGTCGGCCACGACTGGACCTAATGGCCAGGGGTCCCTTTACCTTTACCTTTAGGCACATAAATTACCATATAGCATATATTCAACACAAAAAACAGCAACAATTTGTTGTTGGCAAAGGACAGCTGGACATATAAAGGGCCCCATTACCCTCAGTAGTTTAGGGCCTCATCAAACCTAAATCTGGCCCTGTGTGGATACTCAGCAAAGATGAATGTTAGAAGGTTCAACACAGATAAAGAAATAATTCTTCCCACCAGAGGAAGTGATGTGCACCAACTCAGATTGATTGATTTTTTAAAAAAAGTTTTTATTTATATTTTTCAAATTTATACAGTTCATTAATTTTACAGTCATTTTAACATTTCAAAGTTTGACTTCCTTTCCCCTTCTTTTGGGAATTATAGGGACAGAACTACCTAAATTGTATAGAAATTTATTTATGTATGCTACTACAGCAGCAAGAATGCTCCTTGCCCAAAAGTAGAAAGAAGCAGAAGTCCCAGCAAAGGAAGAATGGATACAAAAACTTATGGAATATGCAGAAATGGGAAAACTTACCAGGAGAATAAAAAAATCAAGATAAACTTTTTATAAAAGAATGGAAATGGCTTATTGAATATTTACAGATAAATTGCAAACAGATAAAAACATTGGCAGGATTATTGTCATAACCTGCTGTTTCATAGGAGTATATATTTAAAGCAGATAATTAAATGAGCGAATTAAATGAATTTGGATATGCAGAAGATATTTAAAAATAAATTTAAGGAACCGCAGAAAGAGGGGGAAGGAAGTCAAACTTTGAAATGCTGAATTGATTGTCAAACTAATGGAATGTATAAACTTGAGAAGTATAAATAAAAACTTTTTTTTAAAAGTGTGTTTGTGCAGCACTCATCAGATCAATCACGCTGGTGTAATCTTCCCAGAAATGGTGGAAGTGAAGAATAAACCAACTGCCTAGTGCATCATCTGTTCTGTAGATCTGGTCTGGGGAACCTGTGGTCCTCAGGCTTTTCCTCAACTACAGTCCTCATCCTCCTTGGCCATTGGGCTTTCTTGCTGGGGCTGATGGGAGTTGTAGTTCAGCAACACCTGGGGGTCCAAAGGTTCTCCCATCCCCAACATACCCGGCAGTTAAGCATTGCTTCCTACAAACACAGAGTTGGACCCACGGAAGCCTGTGACCAGCACCACAGCCACCCACTAAAAATGGTCAGAGGGAGGTAAAGGTAAAGGGACCCCTGACCATTCTGTCCAGTCGTGGACGACTCTGGGGTTGCAGCGCTCATCTCGCTTTACTGGCCAAGGGAGCCGGCGTACAGCTTCCGGGTCATGTGGCCAGCATGACTAAGCCGCTTCTGGCAAACCAGAGCAGCGCACGGAAACACCGGTTACCTTCCCGCCGGAGCGGTACCTATTTATCTACTTGCACTTGGCATGCTTTCGAACTGCTAGGTGGGCAGGAGCAGGGACCGAGCAATGGGAGCTCACCCCGTCATGGGGATTCGAACCGCTGACCTTCTGATCGGCAAGTCCTAGGCTCTATGGTTTAACCCACAGCACCACAATCAACAGCACCATGATACTCATATGTGAAATAGTACCAAGCACATAATTTTGCATTCAGGTTCGTCCTCTCCCCTCCCTACCGCCAGTAACTGAAAGTCAAAATATCTGTATTATTTTGAGGTCATAGTGCCCTCTTCTGTCTGGCAGGGAGCACTTCACGTCAGCAAGACAGTCCTTAAATATGAAACTGGCTCAAGAGCCTTTAAGCAACTCTTTTGGCAAAAGCACATTGGGGGACAGGTTGTGTTATAGCTAGGGATGGGTGATAAATTCTTTTTTTTTTCATCTTTTGGTAGGCATCTTAATGAGAAATCCACACATCTCAGTCCAATTTCCACACTGGAGCACAAAAACCGTTCAAAACTCATACTTCTCCAGGTTTTGCAATGCCGCGGTGGCAGAGCTAGTAACACTACGAACCATAAAACCCGATGCTAAAAGCAGCTGCTGTTTTTTATTGCTTTATTTCACAAGATTTCCATACTGCTTGATTGCAATCAAAAGCTCAAAACTGTTTGGATAAAACAGGAAAGCAATAAAACCATTAGTTTTTAGTTAATAGTTGTTTAAAGCTATTTAACGCACACAACAATTATTAAAATTGAATAATTTCATTTGTTATTTAATAATATTTTTTAATAAATAGAATAGAAACCAGATGGAAAAACAGATTGTCAGTGGTCTACATGTCTAGATAAAGGTAAAGGGACCCCTGACCATTAGGTCCAGTCGTGGCAGACTCTGGGGTTACGGCGCTCATCTCGCTTTATTGGCTGAGGGAGCCGGCGTACAGCTTCTGGGTCATGTGGCCAGCATGACTAAGCCGCTGCTGGCGAACCAGAGCAGTGCACGGAAATGCCGTTTACCTCCCGCCGGAGCGGTACCTATTTATCTACTTGCACTTTGACGTGCTTTCGAACTGCTAGGTTGGCAGGAGCTGGGAACCGAGCAACGGGAGCTCACCCCGTCGCAGGGATTTGAACCACCGACCTTCTGATCGGCAAGTCCTAGGCTCTGCAGTTTATCCCACAGTGCCACCCGCGTCCCTACATGTCTAGATAGGCTTGCCCAAACAAAGAATGTTTTTAGCAGGTGCAAAAACGAACACAGCAAAGGTGTCTGTCTGAGGTCAACAGGCAGGGGGTTCCAAAGTGTGCCGTACTAAAAGACTGATTTCTTACAAGTATTATGTGTGGCACCCGTAACTGTGCCAGCTCCACAGATCAAAATGGTCCGGTGAGCATGTATGAGACAAGATTATCTCACAAGCAATAATCCCAGGCCTGTCTTTCAAGGGCAAATAGCGACCAAAGTCCTCCAACTATCAGAGGGAGCCCTGGGGAATCAGCCGCAAGGGTAGCCTGGTCCCTGGATAGTTGTTGATTTCAGATAATGCCTGGAACACCATCAAAGTAGGAAATAATCCGACATTCATATCATGTTTGTTATGTTTTGCTTGGCACCCTTTCCGGGATCTTTCTTTCTTCAGATATCGTCAAAAGCTGAGAAAACAGCTGATTAGATCCTCTAAACTTTCCCCCTGCTGACAGAAGTTTTCTTCCCAGTGGTATGAACCCAACAAGCCAAGTCTGAATGGTTCCAGAGAAGCAGCTAATACTTTTAAAGAGCTGGCTCTCCCTCCAAGCAGGCGGGATGTTGGGATAAAATCAGATTATTTGTTCCACCACTACGCTCATCCTTATTTCTTGGTTACTCTGTATTACGGCTGGGGGATAAATTCAGATTGAAAGGTGAATCTACCAAATATGTGCTTTCCAAAACCATAGGGCAACTGAAATGAAGCCATCCGTTGAAATTCACACTTCTCATTGGCACAAAAATGGAAGCAAGAAGAATTACCGACAAAAGAAGAATGGAGGATGAAATTGATGGACTATGCAGAATTGGATAAACTAACCAGAAGAATTCGAAACCTGTGGGACCAGAGATTCACAGAAGACTGGTGTAAATTTACGGACTATTTGAAAAGTAATTGTGATGACCAGATTACGTTTGTAGGTTTGCAGGAAGTTTTGTGAGGTAAATTATTTGAATTATTGCAAAAATGGTTAAAGAGGTGGATTGTGAGTTAAGATAATTAAAGGCAATAGGAATTTAAGAAATGCAGAAGAAATGATAAAAACGGTGGATCATCAGAGGTGCTGATGGAAGTCCAAAAAGATTGTATAAGATGTGAAGTTCTGTGGAATGTATAATAATTGGTATGTTGAAATTAATAAAAATCACACACACACTATATATATATATATATATATATATATATATATATATATGAAATTCACACTTCTCTGAATTTTGCAATGCAGCTGGGCAGCCTAGTAATAGCCACGAAAATGCATGCACTGTGGGTAAGATGCACATAAAGATGCATAAATTGGTGAAAATGCAAAAAAAGCAAAAAGCAAAAAGCAAAAAGCAAAAAGCATTACATTACATTACATTACATTACATTACATTACATTACATTACATTACATTACATTACATTACATTGCTTGCAAAAATGCATTTCTCAGTCAAAACTTCCTACAAAATTGTCCTTATTAGGAGGAAATCATACCAGGATGCTGAAGAAGATATAAACTCCCCCCCTGCCCCATGTGCTGGGTTATTGATCAGAAGTCCCATAGCTCAGTGGCAGAGCATTGGCTTTGCACGCTGAAGGTCCCAGGTTCAAATCCTGCCATCTCCAGGTGGAGCTGAGGAAATCTTCCTGTCTGAAACCCTAGAGAGCTGCTGCCAGACTAGGCTGAACTGGATGGATCAATGGTTTGGCTAGGGGTAAGGCAGTTCCTACTAATCAAGTTCCCCTCTTCCTGTAATTATTGACAACAATGCAGGCGGAGCGTAGCCATTATGTGTATATGTTCTTTAGCCCTATGGCAGCTAGTGAATATGGGACAAAAACTGGTGTTTCCTGCTCAACCAGTTCATTGATAAATATAACATATACTGAATTTATCTCATCCAAATAATATTCCAGTCTGGTTCTTGAACAGGATTCCCAACCATTCGCCTGTACCCTCTTAACCGGAAATTATTTTCACCTTGAGAACGAAAGGATATCAGCTGACTGTAATTATTCTTTGCTAACTACCCTTTGGAGGTCCTGTGCTTATCAATTAACCTGCCAAGCTTAATTATGACTATCCTTTACTGTTCCACTTCTTAGACCAGCCCCAGCATCTGAAATTCTCAAGCCATGACTGACTTTCGTTTTTAACTCAAAAAATGTCAGCCAGTCAGTCATGCAAGGGTGATCAGATTTTACATCTCAGAAATCTTAGAATTTAATATTTTGCCCATATGGTGACTGTTGAGAGGCGATCTTAAGCAGGGTTATAAAGGAAAGCAAGGATATCTTTAGGGTTCAATGAATTCTAAACCTCCCCCATACTCCTAGCGTTGAAAGAATTATGGAGTTCGGAATGTGACATTATAGCTGCGGTTCCACGTTTGCCTGTATAAAACCAGGATAGAAGTGATATGGATATTCCACAACTGTTCTATTCCATGCTATCCCATGGTACTTGAAGATTTGCATTTAGCCATCTATATATAGATATTTTTAATCTTGCCATGTAGTCATTTTGCATACCGTGTCAAGGCATACCGTGCATCTTCCAGAGGCGTCCTTGAACAACTTTCTCAGATAAATTTAGAAAGCATCTTTTGCCTACAATATTGGCATCATGGGTTGGATATCTGTGAAGGTTCACATCCCAGTGGTGTGACACTGCCAACCCCCCTCCATCCTTCCAGAGACCCTGGAGAAGGAGAAGGAGAAGGAGAAGGAGAAGGAGAAGGAGAAGGAGAAGGAGAAGGAGAAGGAGAAGGAGAAGGAGAAGAAGAAGAGTTTGGATTTGATATCCCGCTTTATCACTACCCGAAGGAGTCTCAAAGCGGCTAACATTCTCCTTTCCCTTCCTCCCCCACAACAAACAGTCTGTGAGGTGAGTGAGGCTGAGACACTTCAGAGAAGTGTGTCTAGCCCAAGGTCACCCAGCAGCTGCATGTGGAGGAGCGGGGACACGAACTCCGTTCACCAGATTACGAGTCCACCGCTCTTAACCACTACACCACACTGGCTGCCAATTAGTGTGGACCAGTGGTGAGGAACCTGTGGTCCTCAAGGTGTTGCTGGGCTACAACTCCCACCCCTGGTGTAGACAGTGCAAAGCTAGGTGGGCCAACAGTCTTGACTCACTGCAAGAAGGCTTCCTTTGATTCAAGGCACCAGGCATGGGGAATATGTGGTTCTCCAGATGATGTTGAACTCTAGCGCTCATCAGTCCCAGCAATCATGGCCACCGGTCAGGGATGATGGGAGTTTGGAGTTAGGGTTAGGGTTATGGAAGAAGGACCAGCAACATCTGGAGGAGGGACACAGAGGTTTCCCACCCCTGTACAACACGGAAGCCTAATGACCAAAATGACTGCAGTGCTTCTTCCATATCCATGAAAGAGGGACACACACAAAAAGTTCCCCGAAAGTGCCTTTAAGTGGTGGTGTGTGGATGGACGGCGATTTCCTGCTACTTTACCTGCTCCAAAACAAAAGCTTTTGAAGGCAACTCCATCCTGTTTGCTGATTCCCAGCTATTCTATCTGCTGGAATTGAGCATCTTGCTTTTTTTCCTCCCTTGCTTTGGAGATTCAGCTGACACCTCTGCTGAAAGGCAAGTTGTTTTTAAAGCTACGGAATGGATTCTTGCGTGGACCCACCTTTGAAGGGGTGATGACAGTGGTGAATATACAGGAAGTCAGGTTAGACCTGACAAGGATGGCCTAAGATACTCTATATTTAAAGAACGCAAGGAGGAAAAGCATCATCTCTCTATCTGCCACGGGATGAATCATGGAATGTTCACAAATATTCAAGTGTGAGGTTAGCTAATTTGCTTACTTACAATATTGAGGTCCTGTCTTTCTGCATGGTAATGGGTCTCCAACACGGCGATGGAGGGTGATTATTTTTTGTTATTGTGTTTGGTATTTTTTGCAAGCGTCTCAAAGCAACTTACAAAGATTTCAAATGCAAAAATGCTATCAAATAAACATAAAAACAATAACATATGTCATGCTAAAAGTGTTCACCCAGTGTTCGTATGGCCTACTGTAAAAGAAAATTCACACACAACAAGGACTGTTATTATTACTTTAATTAAAGGGCAAGAGTGGCTTGGGCTGCAATCCCATAGCCATTTTCCTGGGAGTTAGCACTGCTGGACATTCACTTTGCACTCTGAATGCTTTTCTTTCTTTCTTTCTTTCTTTTTTCCTTTTTGGGATTTTAAATTCTCGAGGTTTCAAATTTTGGAGTTTTGATTTCAGTTGAAACTTTTCTATATTTTGCATATTTTGTTGTTGTCAGCGGCTTTGATACTTAGATGGTGAAAAGTGAGCTATTATAGTTTGAATAAATATAAATTAATAAATTGTGAATCCAAGACAGATACAGCTGCAGACTTCTGTTTAAGGAAATGCTACCAGCTGAAATTTTCTTCAGAAAAGGAGGCTGATTCTTATTCTTGAATCTTTTCAATAATGGGGACTTCATACATGAGGTTTCCCCTCAGCCCCAAGTTTTTATGATGACCGGTGCCCATCAGGGAGAGATGAGTCTTTCTTTATATAAATTTATATAAATAATAATGATGGTGATGATTTTTGATTTCTCATTTTTCCCATTTTAGTTTCAGTTTTCCACATTTCTACATCAGCAGTTTGCCATTAGGTGCACGGAGGAATGGACAAATTTGCCAATTTCAAATTCTCCTAGTACTCCGCGTTTTCACCCTTAAATTCAGTTCTCCACATTCCATCAGTTTGCAAGTTTCTTTTTTAAAGACACACTCCTCATGAAAATGCAGCAGCGGTTTGCGCAAATTTCCCCTAATGTGCGCAGTTTTGCATGCAATTTCGCCTAACATAGACATTTTAAATGCAGTTTGTCTAATGTAATAAATTTCTGTATGTCCCCCACACACACACACACATATGAATTAATGCATTTTTATGCTCGCTTTACCCTAATATACTTATTTTTGTCCACCTCACTCGACTGGAAAACCATACTGCAAAATTCAGGAAAGTGGCCATTTCGAAAGACTGCTGGGTTTTAGTTCACATAGTATTTCGGAAAGCGAGGAAGGGGTTGGTCCACCTTTAGGTGCACACTGAGTTGAATTTCTCCCCCAGACCCCAGTGCCCACACAGGTGCCTTCTCTCTCTGACAGGCCTTCAATTAGCTCTTGTCCTCAGGTTATAAATTAAGCCAATAAAAGGGCCTGGAAAACACACAAAAACGGGCCTTCCCCTCTCCATTCAGATTTAGTCAAGTGGCAAAAGCCACTTCTGTGAGAAGCAGCTTGTGCTTCGCTGCCCTTACAAGAGGGAATTTGCCCTGCTGATGCACCCATATCCCTGCCCGGGTCATTGGGGACATGTCTGAGGGTGGGTTGTGTCCTGGAGGTCATTCCAAGGTTGCTCTCTGGAGCGATGCTTTCTACCAGAGCCTGGATTTACAACCCAGAGAGCCGTCTCAGGAAACCCAGCCTAGTTCGAGCCCGAAATAGAATTTTATGTCACAGAGGTTAAGCAAGCAACGTTATTTTTTTTATTATAGGGGCCCGGCCTACCGCAAATATCACGAGGAATAAATTTCACCCTACAGGCTCAAGCCATACTTTATCACCTCGTGTTTTTAAACATTTTTTTCTCTCGTTTCTTTAAACCACACACATCAAAAGTAGATCTCAGAGCTTCTGAGCCAAGCAGAGAGACTCTCCATAAAGTCAGTAGGTGGTCGTGAACAAATAAATAAGTGTATTCCTTCACTCAGTCAAATGGAGCTGGGAATTATGGGACCAGGCCAATGCAGGGGGCATTTGCACCCCATCTTGGCAGCCTTTAAGCAGCCGCTGGCCATATTGCAGAGTGAATGAGGCAGCCATATTGGGCACAGGTGGTTTGACGGATGTCCTTGCAATAATTTGCAAGACATAAGTCTATGATACCTCAAGAACTGCTTGGTCCCATGACCCTGAGATTAAGGGTCTACCAGCTGAACTATTCCTTATATCCCTGCCCAGTCACTGAGATCTTAGTGGTCCCCTGTGACTTGGATACATTGCCTGTATCCATCAGGAGTTGTGCGTTCAATATTGTGGGCCCAGTGTTATCGAACTCACTTCCAGTTGAAGTCAGACAAGCTCCCTCCCTGTTGTTCTTACCAGACTCTCCAAGTGTCCCTAATATACAGGGACTGTCCCAGATTTACAGAAGCCACCCCAGTTTCTGATTTAATCCTGGATTGTCCCACTTTTCCTTAGGATGTCCCTGTTTTCATTGGAGAAATGTTGGAGGGTATGGAGTTTTGTGACCCACCCACCCCGAGCCAAGGAGATAAGTAACAATACAACCTTTAGAAGACATCTGAAGGCAGCCCTGTAAAGGCAAGTTTTTTAATGTTGGATGTTTTATTATGTTTTTATATATGTTGGAAGCCACCTAGAGTGGCTGGGGCAATTCAGTCAGATGGGTAGGGTATAATAAGAATAAGAATAAGAATAAGAATAAGAATAAGAATAAGAATAAGAATAAGAATAGTATAGGACGCCCCAGTTTTCATCCAAGAAATGTTGGAGGGTATGTCTCACCATACCTACAGAAGACTTCTTCTTCTTCTTC